AGAAACTCTTAGTGAAGTCAGGCAAAATGAAGCTACTGGAGGTACAATGTGACGATCATGCCCACCCAGAAAGTAGGCCATCTAAGATATCTTGAATGAGACGTTCACTCTTAGAGGTATTTTCAAGATTACCAATGCATCACCTAATGGCAAAAAGTTCTCCACATGTGCCTGAAGACATTTTTCGCCTCTAAAACGAATCCAAATTTTCTACCTTCCCTTCCTTCAAGGCTATCATGACTCATATCCTGGAGCTACCGCGACCCGATGTGAGTTTCAACTGAAGTTTGTGTTTCCTTTGCTCAAATAGTTTTCGTTGATCCGTAGTGTCCCACTCTGTTTAGAACTCGCTCAATAGCGCTGCTCCGCCAACAACTATAGCCACTTCTGTATTTTGTGTATATTATCCATGCACGAGTGCAAGCACGTTTGGGACAGTTCAGTGACGTCCACGCAACAGTACTATCTCCAATGCGAGTATTTTACGACCTCAGAAACATACTTACAGTTAGACCTGGGCGAAACCGGTTGTCCTCTCGGTTCGTAGTTTTACCAGTCTTTCCTGCCTAGCTTTTCACAATTCCACCTACCCTTTCTCTCCGCCTTTGTGTTTGGCTTGAGCTTGCACACCAGCTACATTGGCTTCACTCCTTGATGAGCGACAAATATTGCACGCCTATTACAAGGTGACTGTCTGATAACAGTATGCTTAGTAGACGCCGTCACAGACGGGGTGAATGGCACTGTTCATTATTTCGGCTCCAGTTTATCTTGTGTGGTTATCCTGGTGATAGGTCACTGACGCAAGATGTGCGGAATCATTGTCCGAGTTTCAAGGATGATAGTATGAATACGGAATAAGCCGTATTCGAACAGAATTCCCTGTCGTTGTTTCCGGCGCTTTGTGTGTGTGTGTGATGAAAACGTCTGGACGACAGTTTTACGCCCATGGTTATTAGCTTACTGTGACAACTCTTGTCAATCCCTGTCGTATTTCCCCTCCATGTTATTGATGGTCAGCAGCGACCCTAAGAATCCAGCCGAGCCTCGTGCGTGCGGGAGCTAAAGTAAGGTAAATAAACCCAGCTTTAAAGTCTACTCGAAGTGAAGTATAGCTTGATTTAAACTGCCTGTGGAATATTTGTAACGTACTACTCATAAGGTTGCTGAAAATCCATCGACAGCCCACGACCGGTTTCGCCCTTCTTGCCTGAGAACATCATAAACGAGGGATTCAGCTGGGTTCCAGGTGAGTCTCTCGAAAGAACCAAATTAGTTTGCAGATGAGTGCCTGTGGAATAATTTTATGGAGGTTTGCTTTCGTTGCTTCCAGTTACCTAACTGTCAGAAAGATTCCAGCTGAATCAAAAAGATGCTACGCTGAAAATAACAAGTTGGCAACAAAATGGACTCTTTCTGCGAATACTTTGGCTGATCCCGGTTTGTGTCTTGAGTGGTAGGTAGTCAATGCTTAGATTAACCTTTGAGGGGCCGTTGACTGTGCGGGTGAAAAGCCCTTTCCCAGTACAATTAGACAGATATCAATATCATTGAAGTTTATAGTTATACTTCGTGCTATTTGGAGACCCGCGACCTCTGAGCGTACTATCGAAAGCGGTACCTTATTTTGGCCGGTGATTCGCAAATGCAAAATGTATAGTCTTGATTCGGGATTTTCTAACTTTTTGTGTCCTTTGATATCTTGAAATAAAGGGGATTAGTTCGCTAACTGCTTGACTGTTCTGGCACTTGTATTGATCGTAACAGTGGAAGTTAGTGCACGTATGATGAAGGTGCTCGTAATGTTCACCACATGGAACTAGGAACAAACTTCGCTGTGGCTGAATTGTCACGTACCCAAGGTGACCGCATGAGCAGTCCTGTTTTCGGTTTGCACTTTTGGATCTTTCCGACCGAAAAAACCAACCATCTTCGAACATTTGATCGCCGATTCCTTCGTGGTACTGGAGTTAACCGGTTGTGGTTGATTCGCAACAAAATGCTTGTACGCAAGTACATTTTAGCGAGCCTAGATTGCACCAGAACTCTATAAAAACCGATCCGATTAAGGTTCCGAGCATTCTCCGAGCACCCCAAACTGTTGTTGTTGAAGAGTGCATAAAAAACAGGTCATTAAGTTGCAAATCGAAGTGAATTTAGCTACTGTTAAACCGAGTCTTTGAGGTATATGTGGTTTTCGCACGTTGTTAGAAACCCTACAGGTCATGGCCCACTACCGATCCCAGCAGCGAGCATGCCGCCACGTCCCAGCCGGCTTAGACTCGTAAAGTTTTGTCTCCAACTGTACACACGATTTGTGTTCGGTAAGGTTCGCGAAGATCGTGGGTGAATCTCACTGGTGGCATCTTACTCTGCGTGCTGCTGAGATGTGTTTAGTTCATACTGTTCAAAGGTTTTTAACAGATTGCCCTTAATTGTTTCTCTAGAGGAAATCAGGCTTTTTGCACTAAATCCACTATTTTTCTAGTCTTTACTTTTTGTATTATTATTATTATTATTATTATTATGTGGCGGCCAATGTCAAGTATTTACTGCTGTTCAGTGCTATGAGAACCACTGTGACAACTACTAGAACCGGCGTTGTACGACGAAAAAGTGTACACTAGATGAGGCTGAAATTAATCTTGTTAAACATTGAGCGCCATACACTTTGGAAAGATGACACCATGTATACCGTAGTCTGTATTTGTTTATGTAAAATATCGGGAGATGAACCCGGGTGATTTTTGTACAACTGGTTGAATACTTTAGATTTTTGAAGATACGTTTCCCACGACAGTCTCTTTATTGTGTTTCGCCAGATTTCGTGAGCGGTATAAACCCTTCCAGTTTGTTGTTAAGGCAATGTCAAGTGCCCAATGTGAATTGTCAGACTGTGTAAGCGATGACCCAACCTTATCGCTTGTTTATGTTTTCTCTCCTTAGGGAACCTTGCGCAAGTGGACATCATACTTTGATTACATTGTCGTTGACGCAAAGAAGCCAGCCTTCTTCCAAGAAGGGACAATCATGAGGGTAGTAGCGCAGGTGAGTGAAAGGTTCCGTGTTCTTGTGCTGCTAGCATTCCTTTGTTTCACTCCTAGCCGGTTTCGGAAACTAAGATGGTAACCCACATTTCGACTGTCATAATTTTATAGGACACTTCTGTTTGTCGCATTCTCGGTACCTGTATCTTGGGTACGCGAAGAGCAAAACACACTCTGGTAACATTATACGAAACCGTGCGATTTCGTGACGTCTTCCTCAACTGGCTACCACCGTCACGTTGTGTATGGGGAGGAAAATCTGGATGTGGCTACCAGTCAGCATGAAGCCGGATATAATGTTCATTATTCCCCCACGAGTCCAGTACACGTCGGCCAACAAATTAAGCCTAAAATGCTCTAAGCCTTCCCACTTTGGCATTCAGAACTCCGGGAAAAACAACAATATTTAGGCTTCTAACCCGCCCTAACAGGTCTCTCAGTGCGTCATAAAACCTCAGTGGTGGTGTCAGATTTACGGTCAGTTGCGGTGTAAGCAGACACAACAAACAGACAGCGACCTAAATCCCGCTTATGAGACTTCACGGACGTTACCAGATGGACCCCACGGTGACGACAATTTAGCAACTCTCAAGTATCCTACTCGAGATTTATTTCCTCGTTCTATTCTTGAGTTCTTGTCGTATCCCGCCGAACATCTATCACTTAAGCTTTCTGTGCGGTATTTATATCATCTAACCTCCATCTTTATGTACAGGAGACCGGCAAACGGAGCATTGGACATCATATGGGGGCTTTGGAAACTGGGCACGTTTATTCTGGAGGTAGGTGAATAGACTGTACCTCCTGTACCTACAGAATATCTTCACTCTGTTTCTCCCATCTCTACGGTCTAAGGTGTATCGCAATGTCTTGGCTACGCTTTGCCTTACTTGATCACTACTGAACTTTTCTCCAGCACAGTCCCTCGTCTACATATATTTATATGCATATATTCTATGATGAACAGCTTTCGATGATACAAGTCAAAGTTTCTGTGATCAGCTTACGAGGGCGGTGATCTGCGTTTGGGATTTCGACCAGAAAAAGAATGGGATTTGGCAACTTTCTAACTGCTATCGCTGGGTTTCGCTAAACACAGTGTCACATGTTATCAGGGAGTTTATTCAATCAGCTGAGTAAACAACAGAATTCTCATGATAAACAGAGGATTATTTCGTTAGCTTAAGTTGAGTGGATCTCAGAAGTGATTACTAACTGCCGGCAGTTTCACTCAAAACGTAGAACTGATACTTTTAGCTCTTAGATCAAGTATTCTTTACTCCTCAGTAGCAATAACAGCAAGAATAATAAATGGCAGTAAATGTATGGCTGTAATGTGGCCACAGATGCCGAACTGGCCGGACTGTTAGGTTTTCGGTCTACTAGCTGGGAGGTCGTGGCTTTCAAACTCTGTGAAATTTCGTGAGATTCGCACTGTTTATTATTCCTAATAAGGATGAAATAGCTGTGTAGTCGTTCGCTGTTCATCAGAATGGATTCGTTTAATGGCAGTAAATCACCAATGTTCCCATATTATATTGCCACCATTTATGATAATGACTTACACAAGCTTTTTCGACTGACCTCAACTTATTGTGGTGGTGCGCTATAACGTCAGTTCAAACCACAGCAACCCTTTGCTGCGACTTTAACCTGTCGTCAAATGAGTCGCTCACTTACCCATACCAACTTGATGCACTGGTGCTGAAAGCCATTTTTGATTTATAACGTCATACACAAACGGTTGCAGTGTCTTGTCGATCCGTAACCTCTCCTGGAGGCGAGGTACAGTCGCTTCAGGTCATTTCATTTGCTCGCTTGACCTTGAAATTTTAGTTTGTGATCATCAACGCTAATAGCCTCTAGTTTGTTGCACGCAAATAAGAAATTAATCTGACGACCAATAATTCAAAACACATTCGCATACGTGTCCCGTTTCGCGATTGGAGTTGGAGCAACGAATGCGTCTGGTTAATTGGATGAGTTTCTGTCCCAGTTCTCTCCCTAGTTCTCTCATTCACGGGTGAGATAATTTCGCTAATCGCTAACTTTGGACTCATTTTGCATTTCATTCAAACTGAATACGACTTAATGAATCGAACACTTGATTCGATCGATCTTTGTCCAGATTTCAGGCAAGATGTAGAAAATCACGGCGTTTGCACCAGCTGTGTGGCGTGCCAGTCACTACTAAATGCAATCCAGCGCCTGTGCTCCTTTTGTTGTTTACTTTTGTTTACCGTGCTTAAGTTCATCACATAGTGATTAATAATATTGTCCGGCATTTGTAATACCTAAGCGGACGTCTTTGTGTCACTGAAGCTTGAACGATCAAGTATGCATACAAATATTCCGGTGGATCTTTCGAGGAAACTTAATTGTCCCTTGTAGGTCAACCGTATGCGTGACTTGTCTGTGTAATAGGGGACAACGCAAACAGAGTCCTTACTCATGGGGAGCCATTTGTCACTTCTGTTTGCATCGCGTTTGACTTTTGCCACCGGGGAGAATTCGACTTGCTTCTTTGTGTATCATTCTCTGTTTATTTCCTAATTTTCAAGGTTCATGTGAGGTGTTCTCAAATCTTATCGGAGCCAGGGGTAAAGATGTGCTGTACGTCGGTGACCACATATTTGGTGATATTTTGAAGTCGAAGAAAACAGTGGGATGGCGAACGTACCTGGTTATTCCTGAGCTGTCCAACGAAGTTTATGTGTGGAAAAAGAAAAAGGCACTGTTTGATCGCCTTCAAGAGTTAGACAACAAACTGGAAAATAGCTACCGGTAAGCATGTCACCTTGTCCATTGGTGTTATTCTTCCAATAAATCTTACTTATATTTTATTCTGTAGCATTTTTGGATGTCCACACGAATGTCTAGAAGAGCGGGCACTGTAACGTGTTCGGTTCTTGTACAATTTGCCGGATGATGGTGATGTGTTTCCCAGTTACATGATCTGTTAAGGATTGTATTCGTTTTTTATGAACCCATTACCATCATTATGTTACACAACAACGCGACAATGACGGGTGGTCTGAAGACAGACCATGAGCGAATTTACCATACTCCGCCATTAAAGTTACTCCAAAAACTCATAGATACCGGGACGCCAGTCTGACAAACTGGCTATAAATTTGATTACTGTTCGTGTTCATTTACTCTAAAGACGCAAAACTAGAAAGTGCCGAATTGTTCGTTTTTGATAGGGAGTAGGCATATGCAAATAGTACTTTCTTAAGCAATAGCAATGAACTGAACGATTCATCTGTTTTCACTGTTCCATGGTCTCACTCGTGTGGCTAGCGCACCATTCAGATAGGACGATAACATCAAGCCAAGTCGTAACTGGACGGACTGTTAGCCACGGCAACAACATTCAGTTGTAGAACACCATAAATGAGAGATTCACTCGAGTCTCTCGTGAAAACCAAATTGATTTGCAAATGAGTGTATTTCTCGAAAGCATACTACCTTATTTAGAAGCATATTGGGCGTTATCGTCTTGGCTGAAACACGTTACTTTTAGGGTGAGGCAGATGATGCTCCAGGTTGTTCAATTTTGTGGCCCATGAATGGGGTATAATCGAAACACTTTTGAATTATTCATGCAGCCGCAAGATTAGAACGAACTCAGCGAGGTTGAGTTCCGAAATTCCAGAGTCATGGCGGCCAACTTAAGGAAGTTCTTTAATTTCTGCCACAGAAAGGAAATGGTGGCTTTTTAAAGAAAGTGCACTGGAATGCCATACAAATGACCGACGTTTTCCTTCTATTGTGTGGTTTTTAATTTTAAGGAAAATGCTCTCATGCATTTCACCGGATTGATCATACGTACCACTTATGTAAAACGCCATCGAGTACTTCCAAGTAAGTTTGGGTGTTGGAATACTGACGTTCTGCAATATAACCCCGTCCTAGGCCCTGTCCAAGAATGCACAGACCCGATTTAATTCTGTTGTCAAATCGGTAGGGGATGGTGCTGATATGGAGTCTGTGAGAGGGCCCCCAGCTAAGTACAGTAACGTCAGGCAATAGCTCTGCATTACACCAGAGTCTATGACGTTTTATTTGGAAGCAGTGAGACTAGGTTCATATTACTCACTGACTTCCAGAGATTGTCCAGACCATTTATCATCGCCGACATGATCATAGGAGTTGGTGTTAAATACTGGCCCGTTTGCTGAATTGTAACCACAGTGTAACAGTATACGGACCATTGTACCAAAGGTACACGAAGGCTTCAGGCTACCTGCCACAAGCGATAGTCATGAAACCTCTGATCACACAAGCAGTGGTCGTTTCTCTGAGCTTGGTTGCCATTCGCATTGCACAGCAACCACAGTTAATTCTACTGTATTCGTACAGATTCTGTCCCATGGGGCGAACTTTATCAGTAACACCAATCTGTTCTGTTATTCTAATCTAATTCCTACGCTACTCGTTAAATATTCGGCTTATCGGGAACATGTGGCTGTGGCTTTTCACTGCTTTCCTATTTATGGCAAGGTATGTGTTGTTGAGCTCTTCACCATTGTCTTCTAAAGAACAACCTCATCTATTCCCCGGAGGGATCAGTCCCGTGAAAGAGGTCAGTTCTGGTTGATTGCGCGTGACCTTCTCTTCAGAGGGGGAAATGTTTCACAATATGAGATTTCGCTGTGTGTAACAGAGTCAAACATTAATGCACGTCCTGCTCTTGAGCTGAGCACAGTTTACCTACATATTCGCTTCATATTCCCTAACCCTCAAATGCCCATGGAAAATTGTCTCTTATCAGCTGCCTCTGTCTAACCAATGGACAATCTATCGTTTCGTAAGTTCAGACGTTGGCAAAATTCACCAACAATGCGAACAATGCGGACTAGAGTGATCTATGCAGGTGTATCCATTATACAGTTTGTCGAACGTTTCCTGATTCCCAACGGAAGCTTCACCGGTGCGTTTCACCCTACAACTTGGTCCGACGTCCTAAATATCATTCACCTCTTTTTCTGTCTAAAACGAGCTGCATGCACTTTTCTTAGCACCAGTTAGCTGAGCGTGATCGGATCGATTTTTCACCTGAGCGTTGATTGCCTGTTTGGAAATTTAGTTTTCTCGCACTGGAGATGTCTTCTCGATTGGTGACAAAAGACATCTGTCGAGCCCAATAGCTCGATTTTTTGTCAATTCCATTGCGTATATTATTTGCTAGGTTGAAAATAATCCGAATCGAATGTCTTTCTATGCGTCTTTGGTCCTGTTAGGAGTTTACTTAGATTTCCACTTTTTCCGCTTTCAAAATCTAGTGATATGAACATTTCTTCGGAAGCCAAACCAGACGTTGGGGATATACAAAGAGAGATCCGGGTATGTCGCTGTTTCTTCATCCAAGAGTTGGAAATATTACGCCTCTGTGTTTTAGTTGGAAAGCCCATGTAAGGGCTTCCACGGACACCATTCTGTTCATAACAGCTTCGCCCGTCCATTCGGAAGGCGGCAGTTCAGGTTCCCTTAAAGTGTTTACGCACCGCTACCCTATATATAATCGACCTTTATTAATCGTTGGTTCTGGTCACAATTTTACGTTTGGTTGATCAAAGAATGAAGATATCAGAAGCGAGTTTACAACCATAAGGAAGCCAGTAAAGACTAAACCTAACACCATAATACTATGAGCGATCTTGGTTCAATTTCTTGCAAAATCGCCTTGATCAACACTTTTCAACCTCCTCAACATCCATCATTTCCAAGTTCCAACACTTTGTGATTCCCGTATATAGAAAAATAGACTTTGAATAAACGACTGAGCTCTCCATATTCAAATGACTTTAGAATTGTCTCGCATTGTCTCCGTCAGCATTGTCTGCTTTGAACACCGACACCTCACATCCACACTGCCATGATCTACATGAACAGGGAAGCTGTGAGGGGAAGGAAGACGCGCCGGAGAAGGGAACCAGTTATTCCAAAATGCACGCAACCCCGGATGTCCATTCGTATAACCCAAATGGAAACTGATACCGAAAACTTCACCGATACCTATTGGTCACATCATAGAGTATCTTTCCAATCACAAAGGGTACCACGCTGGCTCCATCCTCTAAGGTCATGTGTTGGTGATGAATCACCAGATTGGTTGCATTTCAGGTCTTCAAACTAACAGGAACAGATTGTGGCACAGCAAGATTAAGGAGGAAGGAAGAAGCCTATTTATCTCGAATACCCGAGAAAATTTGCCAGAAGAAGCTTGGAGAAGAGAACATCACAGCAAAAACTACACCGGCAGGCAAACGGACAATGTCTCCTTACACCAATGACTTTTCCACACAGCGGCAAGAATATTGTAAATACACAGCCAACAATCGCAGTGCAGTTTTATGAGGATGCATTAAAAGAACAAAGGACGGAATGAGACAGTCACCAAGCGGTGCTGTGAACTAGATCAACAAGCGCTATATAGTACAAACCGAAAGGAAGCTACTTACGCGGACCACCGAACACGAGTCGACCGTAGGAACAGGTGGTCCACTTTCTGTGATGATCACCACACTTGATGATCCCGCACGTGGAGGGACTAAACCCGCAACGGAATTTTCAAAAGCGTGTTACCACATGGGGAACTCAGTCAACCGATACGGTGAACAGGACCCAGGTTATGAATCCCGACGAACAAGGGATTACGATCTCAGTCGGAATAAACAACCGCAGCCTAGCACCAGACATCCGAATCGAGATCAGTCGCTAAACCACGTCAACAAATCGGTGTTGGGAGCTAAAGTCAAGAGTTCACGAGGACGTCGATTGAATGATCAGCAAGATCGATTCCTGGAGCAACCAATCATAATCAAATATCTATTCAAAAGCATGTATACAAACGCACACAGACAACTACTCTCTGCACAACTACTGATACACAGGCGCGCTTCACAACACACTACTGGCAATGTAATCTTGATTGGTTTCGTAACGCTTGCAATAGAATTGCATCATCAAATAATTCGACCATCAACTGAACAGTCTGTGACACCAATATTTCATTGTCTCCTTTGGGGCGTTGTCTCTAGACTACACGAAATGTATTTTGGAAGTAACGGTTATCGAAGTTTAGAAGGTCTCACTTCCATAGCTCTCTGAGTTCGCCGATAAAA